ATATACTGCAAGCTGTGTTTTATGGAAGCCTGTTCGTGCCAGGCTTTAAGTGTAACAAAATATTTTTTTATCGCGAAATAACTCAATAATATTGCAAAATAACGCATTAGTTTTTGCGAAATGAAACGCAATGGTTTTTGCGCAAAAAATGAAGTAATGCAATGGGTCCGAATTATTGGACCTTTATTATAGGCCTACTTAGGCAAATTCTCACGCCATATATTATGAAAGATATAAAGTTTGGTGGTGATAAAAGCCTACCCAAGTAAATGGCAGATCCTTGATTTTTTTAAGCGGGTTGACGGAGGGTGCTTAATTCAAAACAGAGACATTTAATAAGAGGGACCAAATGTTCAAAGCAAATGAATCGAGATCTTATGACGAGTGTTATTCAACGAATGTTTTGGATTCTTGGGATTTTTTCTCCAGTTGGCATTTTCCAGACTAACATCTGAGCCCAAATGACTTTGGCTGGACGGAAGATGACTGCTAACCACCCTAACAATCTCCACAATCCACCACTGCCTAATGCCCCCATAAAAGAATGTCTTACATAATATATGAAGAGTACAAAGGACAGTTTTTTTGCCAAACTTTCAACACTTTGTTCATTTGCACGCATTAAAAACAAAACACTTTTCTAATGCATATCAATATACGGTTTCAAGTTGCCTGATGAGGGGTACCCTTGTGATCCGTCGATCACTGGACTAGAGTCCTGCCCTACAACAGTCTTGACTGGAGACTAGACAGCCAGCCCGTCACCCACAGTAGTAGTGGCGTAGCCAGGAATTTTTCAGGGGGGGGGGGGGCGCGCTGGAACATTTTATGGGGGGCGTCATGTAGATCTATGATAATTTTTGTTAGAAACTCAAAATCTCAGTGGGGGGGGGGGGACAGACTGGGGGGGGGGGGGACTGGGGGGCGACGAGGTTTCACGGGGGGCTGTCGACCCCCCCCCCTTGGCTACGCCACTGCACAGTAGAACCCTGAATATAAAAGCACAAATGTTCCCATTCTAAATACCAAATCATCTAAATGCAAAATATTTGATATATACTTTATACAATAACAATTCTTAAATCATGCAAACTCGGGCTACTCAACGGAGTCCATTTCTGCCTCGATGGCAGAAATAAATCAGTTTTAATCTGTCCAATGTTTGAATGAAAATGGAATGGGAAATTTACGTCCATGCCGTACAGGCAGTTTAATTGAATAGAGATTTAAAATTTACATATTTTGCAGTGTATTTCAGCTTTGTTATATTCCCCATTTGATTTGATAGTAGGATGACAAATCTTCCGCTAGTGTCGATTCCACCTGGTACATTTAGCGCACTCTCCAATCTCCGAGAACTGTAAGTTTGACATGCTTCTTAACTAGTTTGTGTTAAAGAGTTTATATACTGCAAGCTGTGTTTTATGGAAGCCTGTTCGTGCCAGGCTTTAAGTGTAACAAAATATTTTTTTATCGCGAAATAACTCAATAATATTGCAAAATAACGCATTAGTTTTTGCGAAATGAAACGCAATGGTTTTTGCGCAAAAAATGAAGTAATGCAATGGGTCCGAATTATTGGACCTTTATTATAGGCCTACTTAGGCAAATTCTCACGCCATATATTATGAAAGATATAAAGTTTGGTGGTGATAAAAGCCTACCCAAGTAAATGGCAGATCCTTGATTTTTTTAAGCGGGTTGACGGAGGGTGCTTAATTCAAAACAGAGACATTTAATAAGAGGGACCAAATGTTCAAAGCAAATGAATCGAGATCTTATGACGAGTGTTATTCAACGAATGTTTTGGATTCTTGGGATTTTTTCTCCAGTTGGCATTTTCCAGACTAACATCTGAGCCCAAATGACTTTGGCTGGACGGAAGATGACTGCTAACCACCCTAACAATCTCCACAATCCACCACTGCCTAATGCCCCCATAAAAGCATGTCTAACATAATATATGAAGAGTACAAAGGACAGTTTTTTTGCCAAACTTTCAACACTTTGTTCATTTGCACGCATTAAAAACAAAACACTTTTCTAATGCATATCAATATACGGTTTCAAGTTGCCTGATGAGGGGTACCCTTGTGATCCGTCGATCACTGGACTAGAGTCCTGCCCTACAACAGTCTTGACTGGAGACTAGACAGCCAGCCCGTCACCCACAGTAGTAGTGGCGTAGCCAGGAATTTTTCAGGGGGGGGGGGGGCGCGCTGGAACATTTTATGGGGGGCGTCATGTAGATCTATGATAATTTTTGTTAGAAACTCAAAATCTCAGTGGGGGGGGGGGGGGGGGGGGACAGACTGGGGGGGGGGGACTGGGGGGCGACGAGGTTTCACGGGGGGCTGTCGACCCCCCCCCCCTTGGCTACGCCACTGCACAGTAGAACCCTGAATATAAAAGCACAAATGTTCCCATTCTAAATACCAAATCATCTAAATGCAAAATATTTGATATATACTTTATACAATAACAATTCTTAAATCATGCAAACTCGGGCTACTCAACGGAGTCCATTTCTGCCTCGATGGCAGAAATAAATCAGTTTTAATCTGTCCAATGTTTGAATGAAAATGGAATGGGAAATTTACGTCCATGCCGTACAGGCAGTTTAATTGAATAGAGATTTAAAATTTACATATTTTGCAGTGTATTTCAGCTTTGTTATATTCCCCATTTGATTTGATAGTAGGATGACAAATCTTCCGCTCGTGTCGATTCCAGCTGGTACATTTAGCGCACTCTCCAATCTCCGAGAACTGTAAGTTTGACATGCTTCTTAACTAGTTTGTGTTAAAGAGTTTATATACTGCAAGCTGTGTTTTATGGAAGCCTGTTCGTGCCAGGCTTTAAGTGTAACAAAATATTTTTTTATCGCGAAATAACTCAATAATATTGCAAAATAACGCATTAGTTTTTGCGAAATGAAACGCAATGGTTTTTGCGCAAAAAATGAAGTAATGCAATGGGTCCGAATTATTGGACCTTTATTATAGGCCTACTTAGGCAAATTCTCACGCCATATATTATGAAAGATATAAAGTTTGGTGGTGATAAAAGCCTACCCAAGTAAATGGCAGATCCTTGATTTTTTAAGCGGGTTGACGGAGGGTGTTGACTTCAAAACAGAGACAATTAATAAGAGGGACCAAATGTTCAAAGCAAATGAATCGAGATCTTATGACGAGTGTTATTCAACGAATGTTTTGGATTCTTGGGATTTTTTCTCCAGTTGGCATTTTCCAGACTAACATCTGAGCCCAAATGACTTTGGCTGGACGGAAGATGACTGCTAACCACCCTAACAATCCCCACAATCCACCACTGCCTAATGCCCCCATAAAAGCATGTCTTACATAATATATGTAGAGTACATAGTACAGTTTTTTGCCAAACTTTCAACAATTTGTTCATTTGCACGCATTAAAAACAAAACACTTTTCTAATGCATATCAATATACGGTTTCAAGTTGCCTGATGAGGGGTACCCTTGTGATCTGTCGATCACTGGACTAGAGTCCTGCCCTACAACAGCCTTGACTGGAGACTAGACAGCCAGACCGTCACACACATCAGAACCCTGAATATAAAAGCCCACGTTTTCCCATTCTAAATACCAAATCTACATGTGAAATATTTGATATATACTTTATATACAGTAACAATTCTCAAATCATGCAAACTCAGGTTACTCAACGGAATCTATTTCTGCCTCGATGGCAGAAATAAATCAGTTATAATCTGTCCATTTTTTTAATGAAAATAGAATCCGAAATTTACGTCCATGCCGTACAGGCAGTTTAATTGAATAGAGATTTAAAAGTTACATATTTTGCAGTGTACTTCAGCTTTGTTATATTCCCCATTTGATTTGATAGTGTGATGACAAATCGCCCGCTCGTGTCGATTCCAGCTGGTACATTTAGCGCACTCTCCAATCTCGAATATCGGTAAATTTGATATGCTTCGTATCTTCTTTGTGGTGAAGAGTATATATCCTGCAAGCCATATGTGGATCTAAATAGGAACCAATCTCACTCTCGCAAAGACTTATATTTGTAGTGTTTTTCAGCTTTGTTATTCTCCATGTGATTCGACAGGGAAATGGTAAATCTTCCGCTCGTGTCGATCCAAGCTGGTGCTCTCGAAGGACTCTCCAGTCTCGACGCCCTGTAAGTTGGATATTGTTGCTGATGTCAAAAAGAGACACTAAAAGCTTAATTTACATTTCAATCTATTTAAACAAGAATCAATCTTACACTAAGCAATATTTAAATCTCATGCTAAAAAAGAGATTTTTTTAAGCAATTTTTTTTATCATATTTTTAATTTGGACGTGGCAATGTCTTTACAGCTTCTTTTTTAATTATAGTTTGCAAAATGTAGATATTGCACAAGCACAGCGAGTTTTAAAGGGTTTGGTAAAGACATTATCGACCAAGGGACACGTTGTGCTAAACAAAAAAGGCCTGAATCAGTGAGTGTAATTAGAAATTGGGATTTTACGTACGTTTTATTATCAGTAAGTTAGTATGCTGGGCTGATATTCTACAAATATTTGTTAAAACTTCGTCATTAAGCCATTTAAACTTTGCAATTCCCATGAATGAGGATTTTTACAATGTATTGCTATCATACAAAAATAATATAAGTGATGGCAATTCCAGAAAACTGATAAAAGATGTCCAATAAGATTTCCCAAAACTTATATCTGCAATCTTATAAAAACAATGTCGATGTTTCCCATCGAGTCCAAACATTAGTTTTAAGGTAATTTTTAGGCTATTAAATATAAATTGGCCAACTTTACTATTTGTTTATAACGAGCCTGCGGCTCGACGGATCAATGGTTGAACACATGAACATGTTTGAAAGACAGTTAACATGAAAGAAAATAGAATGCCGGTTGCTTAGAATATATGGGTTTCGAGAAGGCCTAGGCCTACATTGGCAAAATGTAAAGACAATATTTAACGTCTGATCTTTTTCAGTATCCTGCTTAATATATCAGGCACGTTGACTAAGCTTGATAAAGTCGCCTCTGATGGGTTACCAGCCTTGCAAGAAGCGTAAGTCATTTAGTTGTTCTTAAAGTATAATCGATTGTAATAGTTTTATCATGCCCAAATGGTGCTTAGGAAAGTGATGTTTTTCGGTAACCAATTCGTACCGATTAATGAGAGCATCAAACAGCGGCGGCGGAACGGTTTTCAAACTGGGGGGGGGGGGGGGATCACCAAAAAGGGGCACTTGCTCAGAAAAAGGCAACATCCGTCGGTGCAGCAGCGTATACAGCATTTAAATTGTTTGGCACATCCGTGCTGAAATGTCGACACGTTTTTTTGACCGGACACTTTGCCTCCGTGAAATCAAATAGTGTGTGTGTGTTTGTACAAGCATTGCATTCACTGTGTGGACTTCCGACAAAAGATGTCCACATAAACCAGGTAGCAGCGACGTTGTGTGGACTTGCCCACGTTCACACAAGGTTTTCCCTCTCTGGAAAACAGGTTTAGAGGCATTTTTGAGTTACGTTTATTTGTGGCAAAATGTGGCAAAGGGAATCATAGAAAAAAATTTGGGTTGAAAGAGGTTTCACAGTTTGAGTAAAATGAGTTTTTTTCACTGGATGTTCTTAACTACACGAAAACAAATGAATGTCTACTCCGCACTTGGTATGTAAAACAAACATGCCTGTGTGTGCGTGTTTATGGTGTAAATCGAGCACACACACGTGCAACATCATCGATGAATTGAGGACAGGAACCAAATCGAGGACGACCTCGATTAGAAAACGTGTACAAAACCAATGAGAGCTGTTGCAAACAAATTAGAGTATAAACAAAGGAAAAGGGAAGAGGAACAATAGGAAAATCCTCGATTTACACATTAAACAAACGTATGTGTGTGCGTGTGTGTGTGGGGGGGGGGGGGGGGGGGGCTGGTACTATCTTCCGAAATAGGGGGCGCTCTTCAAAACCGGCCATTATGCAAACTACGCATGATGTGCCCATTTTCAAGGCGCATTGTAAGGGTTTGGGGGCTTGGTTTTTATATTCCTCGTTCATATCACAACTCTTTATACCATTTTGGGAAATGGTAACTGAAAACAAATTATCCCAAATGTTATGGTCAGTTTTGTTTTCATCTCGAGGGGCCACATTTATGCTCGAAGGGGCACATCGGATGTCCGCAAAAGGGGGACTTGGGTAAATCTAGGGGGCAAGTTTCCCGCCCCCCCCCCAGCCCCCCCCCCCCCGCCCCCCCCCCCCTCCCCCCCCCCCCCCCCCCCCCCCCCCGGTTCCGCTGCCCCATCAGATTATATCCGCAGTTCTATCAAGAAATGTGTTAACCCTATCAGGACCGGGGAAGGCACAATGTGCCCCCTCTCCCATATTTTTGCTCATAACTTTTTAACGGTGCAGCCGATCACCACCAAATTTGGTGACTTTTCCTAAATATTATCTAGGGTCATAATAAAAAACAATCAAGGGGTGGTTCGTTGTTGCCATAGCAACCGTTTGTTTTACATTGGTTCCCAGTTTTCACGTAATTTTAATAAACTAAATGTTTTAATATTTATTTCTACACTATAAAACTAATTGTCACATTGTTATTAATTTATTTATCAGATAGGTGATTGAGAAGTGTCACGTGACAAACATGTTTCCCAAATTTAATGACATATTTTTTGGCCAAAGAAAACGGAAAATACGGGGAAAAACTATTTTTGACCAAAAATGGGCAAAAATGTCCCCCAAAACGCCCTCTATGGACGATTTTTTTGGAAAAAATGGCAACCTGTAGAGTTTGGTCAAAGGTTAATTTCTACCAAGTTTTTAAAAAATCGGTCATTCACTTTTGAAAATATAGAGGGGGGGGGGGCACTACGTCCCCGTAGGTCCGAAAAAGCCAGGTCCTGACAGGGTTAATGCACTGCACGTATAGTGTTCAATAAACATTCATTTCATTTTCAGAGTCGTTGATGACTACCGTCTTTGCTGTGCCTTATCCAAGTTGCATCACTTTTCTATCGAGCACAGTTGTTCAACCACCAAGCCTCAACCAGATTTGATTCTGTGCGATAGCCTTATGCCAAATAACATACTACGAGCGGTGTTGTGGGTATTGGGAATAAGTGCCCTCATTGGTAATTTGGCTGTCCTGTTTTGGAGGCTTAGGCAGAAAGGGGTCGGAGGGGGTAAAAAGACGCTATCACTTATGGTTGGAAATCTGGCGCTCGCAGACGTCATGATGGGTGTGTACATGCTAATCATAGCTGTTGCAGATCTTACATTTGGCGAGGACTACTTTCTTGTGGCCCCTGAGTGGCGCTCCAGCATAATGTGTAAACTTGCTGGAGTTCTGTCGGTTTTGTCCAGCGAGGCTTCGGTGTTTTTTGTGACACTCATCAGCGTGGACTGTTTCCTAGGCATTGTGTTTCCGTTGAAAAACTTCTCTCTCGGGAAAAAATCAACAACAGTCATCATTGTTGTCCTATGGTTTCTGGCACTTTGTCTGAGTATCGTGCCAACACTTTCATTTGGGTCTGATTCTGATGTTTATGGACTTTCTGATGTTTGTATCGGCCTTCCTCTTACAACTAAGGCATCTGATGTGACCACGTCATTTAATCGTCGCCTTGGTATCAGGTCTGGTGACTGGCTTATTTCCCACGGCACAGGTAAGAAAGCATCTTGGATCCTGGCAATCGTTCTCTTCCTTGGCGTCAATCTGGTTTCATTTCTTCTTGTCCTGTGTTGCTACGTCGCCATCTTCATCAGTGTCAGGCGGACGGCCAGTGCCGTCCGAGTGAATGCCCACAGGCAGCGTGAAGTCAAAATGGCGGTCAAGATGGCGCTGATCGTGATGACGGATTTCTGCTGTTGGATGCCAATAATCATCATGGGGATTCTGTCTCAGACGGGAACAGTCACACTATCCACCGAGGTGTATGCATGGGTTGTGGTTCTGGTTCTTCCAATCAACTCGTCCCTCAATCCTTTCCTTTACACTTTCTTCACAGTTTGTTGCGCGACTAAACCGAAGGCCAAACCACAGAAAAGGAATCAAACAAACCAAAATTAGAACAAAGTGCAACAAACACAAAGGCTGAGGCGGGTAGTCTATTTGCCCCCAGCAATAGGTAGCACATGCCTGCTTCGCCCCCTCCTTGACAGATATACTCCTCCCCCTTGAGCCAACACTGGATCCGTACCTGCAAACGTACACAATGCAGTGGTTCGGCTCACAACATAATAATACAGATGTTTGTTTAAATTTCAAAGTGATTTCTAGTAGCTGTGCGAAAGCCAAGGCGAAAACTTAACTTACTCTCGTATCAGTACTGACCAGACCGGCATATTTTTCAATCCACGGACTAAATTGTGTAACATTTCCATTTCGTTCATTGACTGAGGATAAAGCAAACTGCTCATTACATACTGTGAATAACTAATTAAAGACGAATAACTTATTAAAGACGATAACTATACAATGATTTTTCCCGATTGATTTGCATCAAAGCCTTACAGATGTTATCATGATGTGTGTTGTTCACATGTTGTGACAATCTTCGCATTCTGCACTACACGCGTGATTGTTGGCCAGTCGTGTTTGTTGAGTTTTTGAGGATTGTGCTTCAATTGTTGGTTATATTAAAGTGAGGGGGGCGTTCAAAGGTGTCTTCAGGAAACATTCAATGAGGGCGCTCTGCAAAATAGTCTTAGGGCTACCCATAACACCGCAGTTGTATATCTCTCGATGATGTAAGTTCATATGTTTGAAAAAAAACCTTCAAATTTTACAAATGGCAGACATTTACTAAAGGAGCCATGCGATGAATTTTACGCTGAATCATTTTTTGAATATCCTTCTACTCTTAATTAATGTATGATAATAATGTTACTTGTTATAATTTTAAGAAGGCCATGGTGTGTCCTAACAACTGAGGGCGTTGCTTCTGTACTTACACTTTGGGCCGACACTGTACAGTGTTAAGGACTATGAATCCAAAATGTAGCCCATAAATTTAAAAAGAAATGCGGTACATAAATAAAGCTCATTGACTTGCTATCGGATACTAAATCAACAAATAAATTAATACAGAGGATTGATGCAACACTAAACCGAAGCATCAGACAAGTTGAAATGCTGATTCAACTGTAACACTGTAAATATACATTCTACGATTAGTTATTTGCATAGTTATATAAATATTTGCATACGGCAAAAAGAAAAGAATATTCACATACTAAAAAAAACACAGTAGATTCATAATTTTAAACTCTTGTGAGAATTGTTTGTGAGAATTTTTTTCATTCTAAATTTTGCATGATTATTGGATTTTGAAGTACAGGCCGCATGTTATGTTGTATTAAATGTAATTTCATGTCGATTAGTTAATTTAGCATCAGTGCCATATATACGTAAGTCTTTTGCTGTATAAAATGCTAATGTTAAGAAGTCGTTAGTAATAATTTGTTATTGTACCGTAGCTTAAAAGTACCGAAAACGGACAATATTAACTGTACAGTATTCTATACATTTTTGGATTGAGAAATTATAATCAGTGTTAGTTTCGATTCATTTGAGCATTAAAGTGGAAAAGGAAAAGACCGCAGGTGATTGCATGGTTCAAGAAAGGCCTAATTTATAACATTTACTTGTGATGTACTTTTCAGAAATTGATGAATTTAGGGGTTAATATTTTATAGCAAATATTTTTACACTGACCTATTTAAAGTTGTATGTTCACAGATGCTGTAAAAGAATGCTGTTCTTGTACAGTCTGGTTTCCTGACCTCACTTCAGACGAAACGGAGCAATTTATCGGGAAACTGTCGGGTCAGGGAACCAGACTAGCTGGCTTGCACCTAACGGATGTGTAACCGATTGCAAACAAAATGTGGACTACCTAAATTTGGTTAAATGGGGGCAGTATCTGAAAAGGGGTAAGTTTTCACAACGATGGTCGGCTGACCATCTTTGAAAATTAATATGAAAATTCCACTTTTCTTTCAAATGACAGCACACAAGGTGCCATGATTTCACAGGATGCTTGAGACTATTATTCACTTACAGGCAAGGAAGGTATTTCAAAATAATTTTGGTAGTTTTCTTGTTTGAGGTTTGCAATGTTGTACACTACCGTTAAAAATGCGTTTAAACATTTGGTACCGTAGTAACTTTTATTCCTTTTTTTTTTTTACTGTGAGAGCATAATCAACACCAATGACGAGAAAACATTCGAAAACAAACTTGGCTGATTAAGGAATACGTTTATTTACTAGGTCAGGCTGATGTACATAAATTGTGGCTCTCAAAATAAACGCTGTATGTAAAATGTGAAAAAATTGTAAGCTTCATAAATTAAGAGTACCTCCACATGTCTGTCTCAGCTCGTTTAGATGAAGGAAATTAGGACTATATCGCATGAAATAATATAAAAGCTTTCACGCCAAATGAAATCGACGACACAACACGATGAGGTTATTAAATAGAATTAACAAATGAATGGAGAATGATTGATTGGAAAATGATGTAGCCGATAGATCTAAACTGTCTTCATAATATAACAATAACATAATAGAAAAAGAAATAATGATATTTGAATTCTCCAATAACTGGCAGTAAATATGATTTGAACCGCTCTCAATCCTAAGGGGAGAAAATAGAATAAGTGATGGGTGAGGGGCGGGGCATCTCAGACCAATTTATTTGGAGAGGGGGAGGGGTGGGCTTGCGGGTTTCACCTGGACAACTGGACGCTAGGATACTGGACAGGTTCTGGGCCTGGAGCGCTGTTCAAAGTGGACCACAATGCAGGCCCAGTTGCATCTTATATAAGGGGTGTAGGTGTGGAAACCTTACCCCCAATTTCCCCCACCCCACCCCACCCCTCACGCCCCCACCCCCACCCCGTCCGCTGCTTACTAATGTTATGATTCTAGTACATTGGGTCCAAAAATCATAAATAGAATGCTAAAGCTATTAGCCGCTTGCACAGCAAGCATCTGTCATCTATGACATGCGTGAAGGATCGGTGATTAATTTTATGCAAAACAAGACTGCGCCTTGACCTCAAACATGACCTCTCGAAATATCGAGTAAACAACTGGTTCTTCTCAGAACCACACAACTCAAAAGAGATGATATTCATATGGTGCACGTTACTGCATACATTTGATCTATTCCCAAGACAGTTTCGGGATGAATATTTTGGTAAACTCAATGAAGTTTTGCGTAGTTTGTGTTCCACAGTCTTGCCGACTAGAAGTTTTGGCTTGTCTTTTAGACAAGCAAGGCACCGTTTTGATGTAAATACAGCCTTCTTCAACTGATCATCTTCAGTCTTCTGGATAAGCTTCTCCTACTTTTTATAGGACGTATCTTCAGGAAAGTACCTAAGGCTAAATGACGATGAATCATTTGGTTCTGTGAGTGCTCATGATGACTTGACTAGTTGGTTATGTTTAAAAACTTCAATGAGCTTCCATTTTTCATTTCAATTCCACTAAATTCTCTGTTTTTTCCTCCTAAGTTTAATAAGTTCCTAAGTTCAATGCAAGTTCAACTGATGAGTCATGAATTTGACGAAAGGGCAATTAGCAGCATTTGACATGGAATTTTAAATGTGATAACATTTTGTTCACTTTGATGATAAAAATGTTGGTACATTCCAATGACGAAAATTTACCACTGAATTTTGCCCCAAGAATTTGTGAGAGGGCCCAAAGCTGCTGATTGGCCTCTTGAACAGAGCATTATGTACATGGACGGTGTACTCAAGTACCCCCTCAACGGTAACAAAGAGAGAGAGAGAGAGAGAGAGAGAGAGAGAGGGGGGGAGCTGGGAGGGAATCAGGAATGCACTGTCTCAATACCTGGAGGCTTTTGTGCCCATCAGGAGACATTTACATGTAATCCTGAACGTATAAACACTGCCTTATGGGGTTACGGAACAATGGGAGGTACCCCACAAGGAATGCCCACCGGGGTAACGTTTTGGTACCCCACAAGTTTTTCACGAAATAGATATATGGATTTTACTCAGAAACTATATAGGAGTTTCCAAGGTGGCCTGATCCGTCGCAAATGGAAGAGTTTTGGAAAAGGGATATTAAGTCCGAATTTCAGCCCAGGAAATTAATTCTGGTTAAAATAAGAGCATTTTGGAATTAGTGTGCGACATTGCACAATTTTAGTTCACGAGAACAAAGAAAGTACGCCACTTCTATGTCTGTGTAAGCGAGTCCTGAATCGGGCCAGTGTTGGTCCTTTTACGGCAAACCATAATGGCCGCCATATTAAGTAGCCTATCTGGACAAACTGACCATTTGACACGATCCTAAATACATGTAGTACTAATCCAAATTGTTTAAATGTGTTCCATGACCCTGAAAATATATGTTTAGACACCAAGATTAAGATACCGTGACTTAGTGGCTTAAAGATGCAATACACGCATTCGGAGATTTAGGTTTTAAATGGCGGCCATGTTTTAAATACAAGATGGCCACAATACTGTATTTGGACAATCTAACCATTTGAAACTATCCAAAATGGTACAGTTCTATTCCTTGACCCTGAAAATGTATGTTTAGACACCAAAACATTGATCCTAAGTGGCTTTGAAGATGAGATATTGGTAGATATAGGTTTTTAATGGCCGCCATCTTTAGATCCAAGATGGCCGCCATAATGTTATTGGATAAGTTGGTTCCTATCAAAAATTGAAAGCTAAGGCATTGAGGAGCATGTATGGACAATTTGGCGCTTTTGTCCGGAATGTCCACATCCATTCACTAAGCTGCCTGACTCACTGGGCATGGACCCGAAGAGATGAATCGGAACGTGCATCCGTGTGGTTGCGAAGGCCTAAGCGTCGCCGTTGCTCAACAAAGTTAATCCTATTACGTACTTGGACGCCATAACGGAGCAGTGAAATTCATGCACCCCCAAAAAACATCATGCCTTTTGAACGTTGCATTTCTAAAATTTCTAAAAAAAAAAATGCTTAGTATTGATTGGAATGTTAAATTATAGTACCGGAAGAAAATCTAAATTCTACACTGCTACACTGCATGTCAGTGAAAAAAAATCGCCGCCATCCATGCTGAAACGACAATTCGGGTTACTGACCTTAACGTCAATTTCTAGAAATCTCCTCAAGTTGTTATTTCACGAGTAGTTGAACACTCATATCATCTAAGTGTATTTCAGCTTAATTTGTTGTTGCAAACGCTTGTGTTACACCTTGGCCCTAAGAACCGCGCCTGAAGATATG